TGAAGTTCTTTTTTTATAACTGTCGAACTTCAGCTCTAGAGCTGACGTTTTTTTATAACTGTCAAACTTCAGCTCTAGAGATGAAGTTTTTTTTTGTAACTGTCGAACTTCAGCTCTAGAGCTGAAGTTTTTTTATTTTTTGTAACTGTCGAAGTTTTTGTTTGTGACTGGCTAACTTCTGTCTTCTTAGAGTTGAAGTTTTAACTGTTTTTTTTATAATATCCTGTAGTAAAATTTTCACTACAGGTATAAATATTTTCTATGTTTTATATATAGAAAAACTAGTTGATCTATTCCCCCTCTTTTATGAATATGCAGTGGAAGTTGAAACTATTCGTGGTTCAATTGCCACAACTCAAAAACTCTCTGATGATGCTCAATTGAATAAAGGTAGAGTTGAGAAAAACCTTCCAGAGAATACTGCAATGGTCATCGACGTTGGTTCACAATTGAATGATGCTGGAAATGCTGATATTGAGAAAGGCATGCAGCCTGGGGAAACCACAGCGGAAGACAAACGTAAAGATATTCTATAGATCATGAATTTATGATATTTGATCGAAGTATATTTTTTACATTTTGAAATTTTACATATTTTATTTTCTTTTTTATGTTTTTGAATGATTTTTCAGAAAGACTGGAGGCACCTCGAAAAGATTTGGGTGAGATTCTGCGGCAATATGAAAAAGGAGAAATACATATATTCACACCTGTTGACTCACAGACAGGTGTGAAGTGTGTTGGTATTATTTTATAAAATTTAGTCAGTATTATTTTTTTTAATTTTTTTTGCATGAAGATACAGGATCTGTTGGAATGCAAACACCATTTGTGTCGCAACACTTAGACCAGGTAATTATTTTCTGCAATTGGATTACTAGCTATTTTATTGCCTAATGTGTGTTCTCTATCAATTTTATTTATGTTTATATTTTCCTTGCTTTTGCAGATCTCATCTGATGCATCGGAACTGCTTCAAAAACCTAAAAGAAGGAAGATTTCTAGTTCTCCTATGTGTGACACCAGTGATATCCCCAACTTCAATTTATGTTCATTTTCACTTGGTAGTACACAAGAGGCTGATTCAGAAGGTAATTCTACTGTTGTTGTTGATCGTGAAGAGACAGAAGAACGTTGTGAACAACAGGGAATTGGTCAAGCATCGGCCACGATGGCTGTAGTTTTCCCCCTGCTGCTGAACAACAGCAATTAGTTGTGACGGAACAGCAGGAAGAGCAAGCAAAAGGAAAACAATATAAAAAAGGGAAAAGGATGCATATGGAGAGTATTTGGTTGAGATCTCCTTATGTAGTTTATAAGAAAAAGCAAAGGTGGCAAGATTGGATAGTAGGAAAGAATAGAAGAAGGCGTCCTTTCCATTATGCTAATCAAGGCAGTGGATTGATGCAAAGATTTAAAGAGTGGTTGGAGATGGATGCCAGTGAATATGATTCCAATCCATTTCAGATTAGCTGGACTTGATATTCAAAAATCATTCTTTACCGAGCTTATGGATCCTGACTCTGATTTTGCGGATGAAGTAAGTTATTAAGTTTGTTTTTTGAATTGGGTTTCAACTGTATTTCCCAAAAGTTCAGCTTATTTTTTGTAGTATAGCTTTATTTATAGTAAACTGCTGAAGTTTTTTAGCTTATTTGCTAAAACTGAATATGCTTAAGTTTTTGTCATGCTGTTTGTAGTTGTGTAATGTGTTTTTTCTAAATTTCATAGTGGTAGTTTCACATGTTATCATTTGTCGTTGTCCATTTGCAGTATATTGATGTGGGCGTATATTACTTGCACAAAAAATATTGCTATCACCTTCCACGTTATACAAAATCAAGATGTGCAGTAACAGATTTACTTTTCGATCAATATATGACTATCCTGGGTAGTATTCATCCTTCAGAAAAAAAGTTGAAGATAATTGAGAAAAGGAAGCAAAAGATAATGGCGGTTCTTAAGAGCAAATCAAAGAAAAAGAAGATATCCGAAGAACAGATTGAAAAAAAAAGAAGAAGAAGCGGTTATTAAGCCACTTATGGACTTTTGTTGGTATGAGGAAGAATCAACGAATGAAAAGGTGGCCAACTACGTAAAAGGCCTCGACCTTTCCTATGGTATCTCATGGGCATCTGCCAAAAAAGTATTCTTTCCATTTCGACTTAAGTCAAGGGAGGGCCAGATATCTACACACTACTTTTTTGGAATTCTGGACTTTGAAGACAAATTTATATGTGTATGATTCCATGGACGATGCAACATACGAGCGTGCACTTGAACATGTCAAAATTTATGTCAGCGGACAGCGAACATGTCAAAATTTATGTCAGTTTATGTCAAAATTTATGTCCGGTTGATTCCACACTATCTCAAATGCTTGAATTTTGGGGAACATAATAAATTTTATGGGGACAGTCCTGTGGAAAATTTTCAAATTAAGTGGATGAACACACCGAAATAGACTACCAAGTACGTGTTTCACATATGTTTTACCATGCATCTTATGTTTATTATTTTTTGCCCTTGTGTTAACTATTCTTTAATTTCTTTTTCATGTGTTTTTTGCAGTGTTGATTGTGATATATTTGCTCTTAAGTTTATTTATATCCGGTTGAAGAGAGAAGATGTCTTCAATTTCGATCAAAGTCAAACATTGGCATTCAGGAGAGAATTGACTGCCAATCTTTGTGCTCATGGAAAGTGGAAAAAAGATAGTGGCTATGAAACTCCAGCAGAACGAGAAGGACATGATTATGGAGATTTTGAAGAAACTCTGTGTGAATTTTTTGATTAGAGGATTGGTTGTACATAATTTGGATTTTCTGAATATACATTAATTATTTTTTTAGTTCACTTTTTTGTCATACAAATATGTTTGTGTCTTTTATCATGAATTTTAAGTACATTTTTTGTTTGAAAAAACTTAAGCACGACTTCTGCGCTAAAGTTTTGTTTAAAAGTCATAAGAAAATTATTGAATCCGACATAATAACTTCACCTTATCAGGTGGTGAAGTTTTTGGAAATATGGTAAAAAACTTCAGGACATTCGGCCGAAGTTTCTTCAAAAAGCTTTAAGACAAAAACTATTAAATCCAACACAAAAACTTCTGCTTATCAGGTGCTGAAGTTTTTGGAAATATACTAAAAAACTTCAGCAAATTGGGCCGAAGTTTTTTGAAAAAGCTTTAGGACAAAAACTATTCAATCCAACAGAAAAACTTAGGTTGATCAAGTGCTGAAGTTTTTGGAAATATACTAAAAACCTTCAGCACATTGGGTCGAAATTTTTCGAAAAAAGCTTAAGACAAAAACTATTGAATCCAATAGAAAAACTTCAGCTTAACAGGTGCTGAAGTTTTTGGAAATATACTAAACAACTTCAGCACATTGGGCCGAAGTTTTTTGAAAAAGCTTTAGGACAAAAACTTTAGCATGTTTTGGTATTTTTTTTAAGTTGATACTTATCTTTTTTGCATTTACTATCTACTTTTTGTCTTTTGTCAAGTACTTCATCTTTCATTTAAATTTGTTTGACCATATAGTAAATGATCCGAAAGTTATTTTTCAAGCTGAAGTTATTTTTTTACTATAGAAAAACTGTGGGTTTTACTAGGGCTGAAGTTACATTTCTTTTTGCATTTACAACATACTTGTTTTTACCACCTACTTATCTTGTTTCATTCAATTTCTCTGAACGTAAAGCAGTAAAAACTAATGAAAAGTTACTTTTACATTTATAGATATTAAATTGATTAGGTGAACACTTTGACTATATTAACAATCTCTTCACTTGAAAATTTCATAGTCATTCATAGAGTTCTATCATATTTCTTTAAATTTGTATTCATCCTTAGTCTTTCAGCTTTTGTTAAAGAAAAAATGTCTGGTGCAAGCGGAAGTGGGAAGCCTAATATGGATGAAATTATGCAGAAGTGGGAGAGTTTGAAGTGTGATTGGTACAATAACAAACCGATGTCTAAGCTTATGCTTTTGTGAGATCAAATAAAGGCTGATTGAGAGAGAATCATGCCACAGTTTTTTGCCAATCAATCATTCCAGAACAGGCTTAACATGGAATGTAGTTGTGGAAGTTATTCAACCTCGTTCGACAAGGTTGTGCAGCAGTTTGATAGTTTTCAGTTTCCCAGCTGGAACTACTATTCCAAGCTGCAAAACAACCTGAAGACTCTTCTTTCTCTTATGTACAGAGTAATCGTCGAACAAAGTCAGCTGCGTGATCAATTCAACAAGTTAAAGATTGATCTTCTTGGATTCAGTGGTCTTTTGCCCGACTACCCTATAGTTATCTCCGATAGTGATGATGATGAGATATTTAGAGAAATTGAGGAGTACTGTGATGATGATGATGACGATGATGATGATTGTTAGTGTTTGTAATCCTTTTTTTATGTTTTCAATGCTATGCTTTTTGTTTACTTCAGCCCATAGAGCTGAAGTGTTTTAGGTTAATTTTGTATAACTTCAGCCCGGAGAGCTGAAGTTTTGTTTGTAAATGTGTGTTGTTCTGACCTCTTTTTATATCAATGTAATTGTCACCCTCTTTGTTCTTAGCTTTCTATTGCATTATCCTTGTTATTTGTTGGTATTTGCTTTATACTTCTTAGTTGCTTAGAGATGCTACAACTTTTGTTTGTACATGCGTTTCTTTTTGTGTGTTGTACGCATATGTGTGTGTGTGTGAGAGTGTTTGTACGTGTGTGTGTGTTTGTTTGTTTAAGGATATATATTTCACATACTGTAACCTAAAGTTTTTTCTCGCAGAAGTCATTGCGTACTTTTTTAAAATGCAACAAAACTTGTAAGCCTGCGCAACAAAAACGAGTGATTTGTATTTTAGCAGTATATAAAATTGTCCAAGAGCTTATTTTTTTTATTCATATGAAAAAAATCACATTTGAATTATGTCATACAATAAAGAAAGTCTAAATTCATACCAAGGATTATTGAAGCTTGGAGTATTTTTCAGTATGTTTCTTGGAATATGGATGAGGTGTTGGAGAAGACAAGCAAATTGTTCTGTTATGCCCAACTTGTTTAGATCGACTGCATTTGGTAGACTTGAATGGTACTGATGATTCAGTCGCAGGTATATGCCTCTTCTTTTGTCTCCTTTCTTGTAAAATCTCTACATCGAGAGGTTTTGTGATCTCAGATTGTACATTTTGTGGTATTTCCAATGCTTTTTGATCTCCCACGGTATTCACATATCCTTCATATGTTTTCAACCATGTTTTCCTTGAATACCAATTTGAGCAGTAATCAGATTTCTGCAAATATCTCTTATTAATAACATCAATTGCATGTGGACAGAGTAATTCATCAAGTTGGAATTCCAGGCAGTCACAAGTTCTCTTCTTTAAGTCCACAATGAATTCAATTCCTTCACTATTTATTCTAAACAACATTGAGTCAAGGTTGAACACCTAACAAGGAATAAAAAATTAAGACAAATTATATTAGTGTATTTTTGCTTCAAAAAGAAAAAGTATGAAATTTTTTAAATGTAAGCAGTAAATCACTACAACAGATATAAAAAGCTGAAGTTAATAAATATACTCACAAACATTTTACAAGCCAAGTCCATCTTCTTAGTCATCTCTTCTTCTGCCCATATTGATACTCTGTGAAAAGTTTCATTTGCTTTTTTCTCCGTTCATAAAACCACTCTCCCAGCTTTTCTTGGATGAAATCTAACATTCTTAAAATAAGCATTTCTCTCCCTTTTAGTAAAACGGAATTCATTGATTCTACCATGTTTGTTGTTAGCATATCATAACATCGCCGTGGGAACCACGATCGAGCCCATCTCTCGGGAGGCTCTTCCATTATGTAATTGCATGTTTTCTTGTCAATACTTTTGAGTTAGGACATTAACTGATTAAAATCTTCATGTTTGTATGACCTTGCAACACTTTGAAAAAGATTTATTACCGTGGCCTTTGCATGTCTTTGCTTTAAATTTTTCTCAAAGTGATAGAGGTAGATACCATGATGAGCTTCAGGAAAAACTTTTCTAATACTATTTGCGATCGATTAGTTTCTATCTGACAAGAAAATCAGTTCACGACGGACTTGAATTGCTTTTCTCATTTCCCCGAAGAACCAAATGTATGCCTCATTGTTTTCTGAATCTGCTACACCAAAACATAGAGGAAAGATTTGATTGTTTACATCCTTTGATACAACAACAAATAGAACACCATGATATTTTGACTTCAAAAACGTTGCATCTACTGCAATAACGAGTCGGACCAACCAACTACTGATGCCGCAGGAGCGAAGAACAAGTAAGAAAATCTGTACATTGAAACACAAAAAAACAAATCATAAGGTGTGAAGTTTTTCAAATAGTAACATTTGAAACTTCAAGTTGATGGTTAGTATTGTTTTGCTTACCTATTCTGCACATCTCTTTTATGCTTGTGTATGTTCGTGGGTTTTTGGCCACCATCATGTGTAGGTATGAAGGAAGAATCTGGTAGTTACTCTTCAGGTGTTCCCCTTATGCAAGCAACATCTTTTTGAATAGCACGTCATGCCTTGTGATAACCAATGTCAATTCCAAATTTCTTTTTCATTTCATTTTCTACAAAGGCTGGTGTAACCTATCTTTTTGTCTCGAACATGTTCTATAATTTGTTCACTTATAAAATTTGATGTAGCATGCTTCTGATTTTCTTGCATCAACCGAGCATTCATGGATGTTATGCCATAAACTAATTACATTTCCTACCCATAATAGATTTGTGGGGAATTTTTTCTTTATTCTCCAATTCTTTTTTATTTTTATGCTACTTTTCTTCTTTTATTTCTTTTTTTTTCTCCTTTTCTTTTATCTCGTTTTCTTCTAATTTTTTTCTTTTCTAATTTCATTTAACTTTTTTTTATATTTTTTTTTCTCTTCATAATCTAATTTTATTTACCGTTTTCACTACTTTTTATACGATTTGCAAGTTAGGGCTTCTCACTTTTAGTATAATATGATTTGATGATATAGATAATAATAATAATAAATAAAAACATAAACATAAATATATGATTAATGTTGTGAATTTTTTAAAAGGGCATTAAGTACAAAATATCATTTAATGGGAGGTAACTTTAATTTTAGGTAAAGGATAATTTGGTCATTCAATTTTTGAAGGTTATTATGGTAAATTAACTTTACCTAAAAGTTTTCATGCTTATAATAGTACGATATAGATATAGATTACTTAATCTAATGAAGACACAACTCTAACTTGAAAAAGGACCCGACCCTACAAAACCAGAACCCATCGAGAAATATAGAAATTTTGTAAGGTGATTATACCATATTAGTAGCATGTTTGGTCAAGCTTTTGTAATCGGTTTATTTTGAAAAGTGCTTTTCTCACAAGTGCTTCTAAAAAAAATAATTTTGGTGAGAAGTACTTGGTGTTTGAATAATTAATTTAAAGAACATTTTTGAGCAGCAATTAGTGTTTGTCCAAACTTTTAAAAAGTCTTTTTTAATTGTATTTTTCTCGAGACCACTTTTAAAAATTCTTTTGAAAAGGAACAACTTTTGAAATACTTTTGTTTCTACTAAAAAACAAAAAAATCACTTTTGATAAAAAAAATAAAAATTGGCGAAACAAGCTATAAGTTGTCTCTCTTCTGCTCTTTCCATTTTTTTTTAATGTTTTCTGTTAATTTTGTTTCGGGGACTAAACACATACATTTACATTAATGGAAATGTTAAATGTGCTTAGTTGAATAACATGAGGATTAAAATTGAAATAATGCAATAGAGAAATTGTTGATCAAAATATAGTTGGAGTAGTCACTCTTCAGTCTTGACTCTTGACCTTCTACTTCCTTCAGTTTGTTTACTGTATTTCTGATCTGCAAAGCCATGGACTTGGAATCTAATATTCTCGATCTTATCGAATTTATTAAAAACGAAGTTATAATCGAAAGTGATCTTACAGAGACGCTTAAGGAGGGATTAACATTTCTGTTACCACTTGTTCGCTGTGCCGCGTATTGGATCAGCGTGGATGAGGAGGAGTTGAGAGATCTTTTGGATCGTATCCAGAGTTTGATCACAAAGGCAAGATGGGACCTTCATTTGACTTGTGATATTGGAAGATCTGAACTGGAACGTGTTGCTTTTGACCTACTTAAAGAGATTTGGTTTCTCAAGCCAGACATTGTTTTAGTCCTTAGATTTCTGCCCAAGGTAAGATATCCTAGATACACGATTGGAATCCTGGCTGGGTGCATCGAATCTCTCGTTTTCAATCTAGAGTTTTTGCTGAAGTCCAGGGCAGATTTTGTTGCTCCTGTGAAGGAAAAACTTGAACTTGTCAAAGGAAATCTAGAGTATCTGGGAGGTTTTGTTTCCTTCATACTTAAGAACTGTATTCGTGAGTCCAACGACGTCGACAAATTCTGGGATTATGTCACAGGTGTAATAAAAGAAGCAGCAAGTTGTATCTCTTCACTTTGTTTGGCAGAGGATTCGGATGATTGCATTAGTTTAATCCTTGTAGATCTACTAAAGAGCAGTAAACCTTATGTTGAAGCCCTGAAAGTTTTACCCTCAGTGCTAAGCTTCAGTTGGGAATTGGATGCCTTTGCAAAGGACTTTGTTAATTTCATCCTAGGAGCGCAGATAACAGAGGAGCTCAATTCCCGGTCTTATCTACTGATCTACAAAGATCGTGTTCAAAAACTCCAAAATTTGCTCTGGTCACTGCTAGTATATATCTTATGCAATGAAGTTCAAAAGGAAAACTTGATAATCTTTGATCTTGTATTCAATGAGTTTTGGTCCTTCATTAAATCATTGGACAACCGAGAAATGGATGAAGATTTGGGCAAAGAATTTGATCTTGCTATATCCCATTTGGTGCAAAAGATGGAGCCCGCGGCATCAAAGATTTTGCAGTATATTATCGAGGTAAAAAGGCCAATTGGATTGCGCTTTTCCCAGATTGATAGTTTGGGATGTATAGATTTGGTATCGCAGAATTTGCTGAGATTGTTGGATCATAGTAATTATTCAATTGCTTTGGCAAAATATCAGATTAAATTTGTACTGGCTGAGATTAAAATTTTCAAACCTTTTCTCGAAAATAATGTTGACCAACAAGGAGAGCGTAAGGAAGTGTTAGATGTTTGCAATCATATGACCAATTTATTTGTCATATTTGAGTATGTTGCTGCAGGATTCTTGGTTGATAAAAACTTCTCGGTTGATCTTCTTTACACATGGGTTAAACATGGAGACGATGTCATTGCAGAAATTAAGCTTTTCAAGGACATTGTTGAATTTGCGCGTATCTTCATGGAAAAAAAGGATGCCCCAAGTGATTGTCAAACATCAAAACCTAGCACTCCAATCATTGATGAAGCAGTTGTAGGCTTGGAGGACCAGATAGAAATATTAATGGCACGGGTAATTGGTGGAGGGGCAGAGCTTAATACCATTCCTGTCATTGGCATGCCAGGGATTGGTAAGACAACACTCGCCAAAAGAATTTACAATGACAGAAGAACTTCAGATCACTTTGATATTCGAGCATGGTGTTCCGTTTCTCCTAGACATACGGTGAGTGAATTAGCCCAAGATATTTTAATTTCTATCGTTGATCTGAGCAAT